CATGGAAACACACATCAAATAGCAGGAGAGAGGCTGAGTCTACAGGTAGCACACACACACACACACACACACACACACACACACACACACACAGTAGCTGCAGAGCTGTCAGTCACAGGTGTTTTCATGCTTCAGGTTACTCGATCACTGAGACCATCACAGTGCCGGGTTCACGGACCAAACACTCGCACGGGTGGAGGAAGTCCTCGGATCCTCGCTTTGGCAGCGAGCCTGATGAGTCAGTCACCCCCAGCTCAGTGTTTTTCCAGACAAAGGTTAGAGGTGTGCAGGGCCATGCTGCGGTTTTCATCCAAACCACAGCCTTTTGTTCAGCCTAAGAGGAGCTTTTAGTCTAACCCTAACCAGCCGGTTAAGTAAACACTTAAAGTGGAAAAAAAGTGAAACAAAGATCTCTACACCTGTGAGACTGTCACTACTGACTCCCCCACAGCGGGCCTCCAGGCACTGAATACAGCGCCTACAAACAGTCGGAATAGAACTTTGAGCCAGGAAACGTGCAAAATATAGACATAAAGAGGTGAGTGAGGTGAAACTCTGCTTTTCATGCGTCCTCTCACAAACCTGCTGGTGTGGATGTTGTTGGTGAATGAAACTCATCTGTCAGCTGGAGCAGCTGAAAGTGTTTTTACTGTGGCTGATTATGAACACACTGTCACTCCAAACACACTCGTCGATGCTTTTATATCAGCCTTCTAGCACTAGCAGCTGAAAATGAGCCTGTACAACTCTCTCCCAAACTGCAGGGGGCGCTGTGCTGTGGCAGGTTTGTCTCCTCACCATAGGTGTAAACTGGTCCCTGCTGGTCCGGCTGGAAGGGGGTGGTCTTCAGGACCTGAGGGATGGACAGCTCAGTCAGAGCGGGGTCGGGCGAGGGACACAGTCTGGGCGTGGCGTCCGAACCGGGTAGCAGCACCAGCTGCCGCAGTAAACCCTGAAGAAGAAACAGAGCGGTGAAAACCAGCAGGACGGACAGTTGGCTGATCTGACCCTGATCAGAGACTCACGGAGAAGCGCCCCCTCCACCGCCCCCTGCTGCCGACGAAGAACCGGGACCCTCTGGTGCTCAGATGGCTGGGGAAGGGCTGGACCTGTTTACTGGGGGACAAGAAACCACTTAATCCCATGAAGTGGATCTCTACTGGTCTCTATTGGTCTATGTGGTGTCAGCTCTCACAGCTCCAGAGGAAGTCCACAGTCGACAGTCAGCGTGGCGTACGGCCCGGTGACAGCCAGCACCACTGTGTGCCAGCGGTTATTGTCCAATCCAACGTCCTTAAAAGTCATTCGGCTCCGCCCACCAGGGCCAGGGGATGTGGTCAAGAAGTGGAGGCGGTTCTTAGACACTCGTAACCCCAGCAACAGCGAATCAGATCCCTCCCTCACCACAGAGAAGATGTACTCATTTGTCTGGAAGCAGAGAGAGAAAAAACACATTGGACTGGAACAAACTCGTCCAGAGTGGGCTGAACTGGGCCACACTGATCCAAGTTGGACCTAACTGCACCAAACTGGACCAGAGTGGGCTGAACTGGGCCACACTGATCCAAGTTGGACCTAACTGCACCAAACTGGACCAGACTGGGCTGAACTGGGCCACACTGATCCAAGTTGGACCAGACTGGACCAGATCCAGCTCCATCCATCACCTTCTGTCTCAGTGTCTGAATCTTCACCGTGGCAACCAATGAGAACTCAGAGGGAAAGTAGTAACAGTTGGTGAAGATCTGGGAGGCGGGGAAATTCAGAGGTGCTGCCACGGCGCTGGCCAATCGGAGACCTCTGGAACCTTTGGACTGAACCATCCGCACCTGGAGGGGTAGTGGATGAAATATTAGGGGTAGCTACCATCATAAATGTTCATACCTTCATGCTATCCTGTGTCTTACCTGAGTGGGCGTGGCATGTCCTGGGGGGGGCAGGGCTTTGGACAAAAGGTCAAGAGGCAGCAGGTCTGAGGGGGAGAGAGCAGAGACGGGGTGAACTAAATCAAATAAGTTATTAATAATTTAGATTTTCTGAACCGTAAATCTGCTTCCTGTTGTTCTGCTAACCTGCAGGCCCAGCAGTGAAAGCCACCAAGCAGACCATCATCAGACTCTATGAGTGTAACCCTAACGCCACTGACCCCACCGATACTTCAGTGAAAACAAAGCATGGTTTACTGGAGCCCGATTTCCACCGCAGAGTTACACTGAACCAGCTGTATGTAGCTCGATTTAAATCACCGCAGGGACACGTAAGGAGCGATCAAGGTTAGACATTTTATCACCTGCTGCTAATTTCAGATCCCTGAAAGCTGATTTTCATGAAAGCAGC